CCAATATTCTGAGTAGCCCGGATTTTCCCAAAATTTGAATAAAGTCTGCTCAACCCAAAATACAACCTGTAGAGGGGTATTTATTTACTTTTAAGTTACTGCTTGTAGGAATAAGAATTAAAATTACTAATTATAAAAAAATATATATTGCTGGAATTTAACTGCCCAGTTCTCATAGATGTTTTAATAGCAGCAGCAACACTGTGACTTAATAATTGTGTGGGCATTACTAAAAAAAAAAATTTTACATTTGTTTTTTGAAAAGCATTTCAGTTACTTTAAAAAGAACCTTTCCGATTTTACTACGGTTATCAATTTTATACACCTTTTTTAAGTCTGAAAAACTAATAAATTTTCCATTACATAAGAAATTATTATCAATAAAATTATTTCTAATACATTTAAAAAGATGAGGAAAAGTAAATATTTTGTTCTCGTTTATAAGGAAATATGGACGATCTTTGTTTTCCCCGAGCAACTTAATTACTTTTTGATTGGACGTTGAAAGATCACAGACGATACCAACTGGTACTAGATTAATATTAAGTTATTACTAAACATCGTTAAAGCCTTAATAAAAATAGATTTTAGAGAAATATAATTTGCTCCATATTTAGACAAGAAATATCCAATAGGTATTTTCCATTTGAAGAATACTCCTCTGATAATTAACACTATTCTTTGATTTCATCTTAGATCTTCAAATATTTTAATGATAACTAATTTAGAATTGCATTCAGAATTTTTTTTATAGACATCTCATCAAACATGAGTACGCATTTTTTTCTGTGATGAAGACATAGATTTTTTATTTGAAGATTTAAAAATTTTTATTGTAAAATATGAAAATGTAGAACAGTTTATTTTATTTTAGTCAAGAAAAGATATTGATTAATATCTAATACCAAAAAATTATAACACCAATAAAAATTTCCACATTAAAGGGTTTACCCCCCGGGGCAATAGCCTATTTAGCCTTGTGGTTACGACTAGCCTGTACAGTAGAAAAGTAAAAATCAATGTTACTCTTACTTTATTATTCACATCGTGTTTACGATCTCTCTATTTGCATAATTCGGTTCAGTAATTTTTTGTACTCAATATACTGTGACGGCCCACCCCCTGGTCCCCTTTATTATGATTTTTTATTCATTATTTTACTCTAAAATGTGTTATTATTTACCTCACAAGTTTTACTTTATTTTAAATTCTATACTTACTGTAATTGGTCTTTTTTCCTCTAGTAGTAAAAGTGATCCTCTAGTTAATTTATTGATAATTTGTAACCCACGTTGTGATAATGTTAATTAAGGTAAACCAGGATTCGATGCAAAGTTTGGTGCAAATTGATAAATAAAACATACAAATTCATATTTAAACTCTTTTATATTTGTCATACTTAAATTTGATGCAACAATTAGCAAAGCATATTACAATTGTTACTATTTACTGAGATCTCACTTGAGTCCCGTTCAAACGCAGACCATATTCATTTGCTATCAATATATATTTTATTTAGGTTGAGGACCAACGGAGTTAACGAACAGCGTCAATTCGCCAGTTGATTAACTATTGTGTTGATGTTGATTTGATTCTATTGTAGATATATACAGGTTGCACCCTCTTAGGTAAATATTTCAATGAGTATAGAGGTGATGACCAACGGAAGTAACAAACAGCGCCTATTCGCCAGTTGATTACCTTACTATGTTGATTTCACATATTCTTTGTTTCAAACCTTGTAGAACGGGTTGCTTAGCGTATAGGTCTCCCCCCTTGAGCTAACGAACAGCGTATTCGCTAGTTGGTTAACTTACTATTAAATTTTACCATCTTGGTTTGTACAATTTATCCAAGATAGCACAACCCTGTATATTTCCAAAATATTGATTTTTATAATTTCTATTGAAAGACTTAATACAACCCTGTATATGTTTTAATATTGATTATTATAATTTCTATTGGAATAACTTAATACAACCCCGTATATTTCTTAATATTGATTTTTATAATTTCTATTAAAATACTCAAAATTTCACCCATCCAAAACAGATGTTATCCTAAGTGTCTTTCGGGGTGTATGACCCGAAGGCCATGTGGTTTATTGATAATATTTTACAGCAAATGTCAAGCCTGCCCTTAAACGAAACCCGGGTGATACCTCAAAGAAAGGTACATAAATCTTTTGACTCACTACTGAAAATACAGACATTAGATTATGTACTAATTTCATCTAGCGTTGTGACGGCGTCGATTTAGGGACGTTGTAACGTTAAGCGTCGAGGCGTCTAGCGTCGTGATGGAAGGGAAGGTATTTAATACGGTACTGTATTGGGACAGATATACGGTAGAATTATGTAGGTGGTGCGGGGCGTGATATGAAGGAAATATTTATGGACGACAAGCGTCGGAAATAAGGCGCGGGACGTTGAGCGTCGAAATGAGTGTACGGTAGGAAATACTTAGATGGTGAGGAATGTGACAGCGTTCGAGACGTAGGGAATAGGACGGCAGGACGTTGGGCGTCGAGACGTTGACAACTTTGGGAAATAGGAGGTATTGTGGGATAGACGTCGTTTAGGAAGGGTACAGACTATATAACTGGGTACAGATAATAAAATGTATGCTTGCACATCAATTGATAAAAATTGAATGACCCGAGCTCATTTTTGTCTGGCTTTTTATACACAGTTTAATCGTTTTTGTGACGTCTCTATCGTTTTGGTTCTCATAGAAAATACGAATGTGGGTGCAAAAGAGGGTGGGTTATTTATTACTTGTTTTGAAAGCTTTGTGTATTGAAATATTGTCGAAATCGGTCTAGAAATCGAAACTAGAAATATAAGCGAGTTAAGCGCTTTAATTATAATTACTTCGTAAACAGAAATACGCTTTATAGTGTTTTCTTTGGGCTGGTTCTCAGCCACGTGCACTAATTTTGGATCTTTACGGACGTGGTTATAACTATTATTTATTAGGTGTCATACATAAGATTTAATTATCTGGGAGATTTTTCGTTAAATGAAGCATTTTGAATTTAATAAGAATGCGATATTGTATTTAATAAATGGAATTAATAAATTATTAAGGTACCTGGGTGCGGTAGGTTACAATACTAAGTACTGAATTGGTCCATATACCTAAATACACTGCATACCAATATCAAATAAATTATTTTAGTTTTTTAAGACATACCAACAATGATTCAAAAGATTTAACAACATTTCGCTCTATCCAAAATGAAAAAAGAATTTTTAGTGGCAGTTTTTAATTTACCACAGCCGGAGTTTAAATGTCGTGCAACACCCTGTATTTTTATCAGATCTTTAGATTTGTGCAGTTATATGTCTTTGAAATTTGGCATATCTAATTATAATAATATGGGAAAAACTTTTCGTTAATATTTTTAAAACTTGCTGCTTCAACCAAATAATGTTAGCAACTATAAATGTGTAGGTATTTTTTTTGTAAATATTATTTCTAAGCTATTACGAAAAATACACATATATTTTTGCAGGTTACATTACTACATATTTTATAAAAAATAAAAGTATATGAGGCTACTTACTTTTAACAGCAACTGGTTACCTATTCACAAAAAAATCACGATAGGCAATAAATGTCTAGTGTTGACTATTTATAACACAAAAATACAAATGTCTAGTGTTTATAACTATAACATAAAAAAATTCACAATTTTTAACCAAAAACTTATGTTTGATGAAAAAAACTCACCGAGCAAAAATCACAATCAGGGTGGATAATAAACAAAAAACTGTCGAAAATTCGTTTTTTTTTTTTATTTTAAAAACATTTGAATATTTATTCCTGAAACCATATTTTTAGATATGCATTTGATTGGTAGGTACTGGAGTTATTAACATAAAATTGAGAAGTTCTTTAATCATGCCTACCTAGGTATATAGAGGATATGGGGTAGATATCCTACCTATATCCCTCTATCTACCTAAAAATTTGAATAATTTCGTTTGCACAGATTAAATCTCTTAGTTCGAAAAATTACCCATTCCTACAAAAATTGTAGAATGTTATAATTAACGCACGCACTTTAATTTAATAGTTTATAAATTTGTAAACCTACCCTACTCATATTATTTAATAAAATATTATATTTATATTCAATTTAGGTAATAATAAATCTAATCTTAATAAGTTACATAGAAATATGTAAGTCCTACATAGAGGTTTTAGGTAATTATTTAACGGTAACGGCTAATTATAGCCAGAGCCGCCAAGAGAGAGACCGGGCCCCAGGACAATTATCCAGATCTGGCCCCCCAAAAATTTTTCCTCCTCTTCTTGAATTTCTCTAAAAAAAAGGTCGTCAAGCAAAAATTTCTCCTCCTCTACTTGAAATTTTCTAAAAAGAACCCCCATTTGAGCCCGGGCCTAGGGAATTATTCCCGGCTGCCCCCCCTTCTAGTCGGCCCTGATTATAGCCGCTGATAATGACCAATAATAAAAACCACCAGCCAAGCGCCCGATTCAAATTTACCTAATCTAATAACAAAGGGAAAAAGATTTATTTCATGCATTCTTAAAAATGAACGTAAAAATGTTCTTCCCTACATATTTCTTCGCTTCGATGCAATGTTGTCATTTAAATAATATAAGTCATGTTTTAATTGATTTTTATTTAAAAAGACAATCTGAATTTTTATTAAACTCTGTAGTCTCGGTTGTAATATAATAATACAATAATTGGTAATTTCGGTAATTAATTTAGCTATAAAATTTACTGTGGCAACAATGATTTTCCTATGTTAATCATTTAGTTGGACTGAAAATGGTACTCATCCATTCTTCTTTGGAATATAATTTTAAACGAAATCATTATATATACTCTTGGCAACCCAAAAACAGTCGCCATCTATTTGTCGTCTCCAAAATATTCAAACCTTTCGGTCTATGTCTCTGACCAACTATCTCTACTCTTTAAACAATGTTAATAGCTATTTTACTTATTTATTTTTTTCAAGATGTCTGTTGGCGATACTGTAGGCTATTCAGTAAGATTTGAAGACTGTACATCAAATAAAACAAAGATCAAATTTTTGACTGATGGTATGTTGCTTAGAGAATCAATGTTTGATAGAATCCTAATGGAATATACAGTGGTGATATTAGATGAAGCCCATGAAAGGACCATTCATACTGATGTGCTTTTTGGCATTGTAAAAAGGGCGCAGAAAACTAGAGAAGATAGAAATTTGGCCCCTCTAAAGGTAATTATTTAAATATTAGTCCAAGATCCGGAATCGAGACAGTTTTATCCCCATTTGTTCATACTTTATCGGTTTTTATATTATTTTTTATATTAATTATGTCAAAATAACAGGTTTGTGAAAAAACTTTCTGTCGGATCTCATACTGTATGTTATTTTAGTAATTAAAACAAATTTGTGTTTGTAGATAATAATAATGTCAGCGACAATGGATGTTGACCATTTTTCACGATATTTCAATAACTGCCAAGCTGTATATTTAGAAGGTAGAACTTTTCCTGTAAATATTTACTACACTATAAAGCCCCATGATGATTATCAAACTAGTTGTGTGGCTACATTTTTTAAAATACATCGAGAAGCACCACCAAAGTAAGTAAATATCAAAGGAAATTGAGGAACCTTTATTAAAATGAATACTAGGATTCTTTTTGAATTTCAGCCACGATGTGTTGATATTTTTGACCGGTCAAGAAGAAATAGAAGCATGTGCACATCGGATACGTATGTTAGCCAAAGATCCGGATGTTAAAGGTCCTTCAGTTAAATGTTGCACTTTATATGCTGCCCAACCAGGTGCTCAACAGATGAGTGTTTTTCAACCTGCTCCTCCGAACACCAGAAAAGTCGTTATTAGTACAAACATAGCTGAAACTAGTGTTACAATACCTGGAATCCGGTATGTCATTGATAGTGGCATGGTTAAGGCAAGGTAAGTTTATTTAAATTTTAGGAATGCAGGGAAATGAAAAATGTAAAAATAAATAATTATCCATATGTGTGTGTGTCTGATGAAGAAGTAACAATTCGAAACTTTAACTTTGTGAGACTCTTGTCTACCAATTTTCATTTTAGTTTACAAAATGTTTAAATTTCTCATAATGTTCATGTAATTAGTTTCACCATACTCTCATCTATAATTTTTTTTATTTTAGAACTTTTCATCCTTCAACGGGCCTAGAACTCCTCAAAGTGCAAAAGATATCACACGAGCAAGCATGGCAAAGAGCGGGCCGAGCCGGTAGAGATTCAGAAGGACATTGTTACCGTATTTACACAAGATCTCAGTTCGAACTGATGGAAAAAACAACAACACCTGAAATTCAAAGGGCGAATTTAGCGACTGTCGCCCTTCAAATTTTAACCCTTGAACTCCATCCTAATTATTTTGATTTCCTGGATAAGCCTTCTAAGGACGCTGTCGGACTTGCCTGCGAACAGTTAAAACTCTTAGGTGCTGTGAATAGTGTAGATTCGATTATTTTGACCCCGTTAGGAAGGAAAATGTCTAAATTTCCTTTAGACCCAAGGTAAATGCTAAATTTATTTGTGCTATTATAAATATATCTTACACAACTTTTAAAATTGTAAAGTTGATTTTTACTTTCCTATTTGTATACAGATATAAGGAAAGTATAGGAATCATGATTTTTTTCGACCTCAAGTTTTGTGTGTGTGTGTGTGTGTGTGTGTGTGTGTGTGTGTGTGTGTGTGTGTGTGTGTGTGTGTGTGTGTGTGTGTGTGTGTGTGTGTGTGTGTGTGTGTGTGTGTGTGTGTGTGTGTGTGTGTGTGTGTGTGTGTGTGTGTGTGTGTGTGTGTGTGTGTGTGTGTGTGTGTGTGTGTGTGTGTGTGTGTGTGTGTGTGTGTGTGTGTGTGTGTGTGTGTGTGTGTGTGTGTGTGTGTGTGTGTGTGTGTGTGTGTGTGTGTGTGTGTGTGTGTGTGTGTGTGTGTGTGTGTGTGTGTGTGTGTGTGTGTGTGTGTGTGTGTGTGTGTGTGTGTGTGTGTGTGTGTGTGTGTGTGTGTGTGTGTGTGTGTGTGTGTGTGTGTGTGTGTGTGTGTGTGTGTGTGTGTGTGTGTGTGTGTGTGTGTGTGTGTGTGTGTGTGTGTGTGTGTGTGTGTGTGTGTGTGTGTGTGTGTGTGTGTGTGTGTGTGTGTGTGTGTGTGTGTGTGTGTGTGTGTGTGTGTGTGTGTGTGTGTGTGTGTGTGTGTGTGTGTGTGTGTGTGTGTGTGTGTGTGTGTGTGTGTGTGTGTGTGTGTGTGTGTGTGTGTGTGTGTGTGTGTGTGTGTGTGTGTGTGTGTGTGTGTGTGTGTGTGTGTGTGTGTGTGTGTGTGTGTGTGTGTGTGTGTGTGTGTGTGTGTGTGTGTGTGTGTGTGTGTGTGTGTGTGTGTGTGTGTGTGTGTGTGTGTGTGTGTGTGTGTGTGTGTGTGTGTGTGTGTGTGTGTGTGTGTGTGTGTGTGTGTGTGTGTGTGTGTGTGTGTGTGTGTGTGTGTGTGTGTGTGTGTGTGTGTGTGTGTGTGTGTGTGTGTGTGTGTGTGTGTGTGTGTGTGTGTGTGTGTGTGTGTGTGTGTGTGTGTGTGTGTGTGTGTGTGTGTGTGTGTGTGTGTGTGTGTGTGTGTGTGTGTGTGTGTGTGTGTGTGTGTGTGTGTGTGTGTGTGTGTGTGTGTCTCTGTATAACGCATAACTCATGAACCGATACACGGAAAAACACCAAATTTCAAACTTAAGCTTTGTTCCAGCGTCTAATGAGCTGATTAGATTTTGGGCAGAGTCGGAACATCTGGGGGGGTACTTTATAGGTGGTCATTTTTATATTTTATGGAATATATCTGTTATTTACGTTTGGGGAAAAAAATTCTTCAAATGAAAGTTACCTCTTATTTTATTATCTATAATTTTTGTTATATACAAAATTTTCCTAAAATGGTCCGTATTCGCGAAATTTGACAAAATGTAAAAAAATATTTTTTTTTATAAAAATTGTTCAAACAAAAGTTGTTTGTAATATAATTCTCTATAATTTTTATTCTATAGATAATTTCTCTAAAATGGGCCGTATTCGAGATATTTGAGAAAATGTGTAAATTTCGAAATTTGAAGAAAACTCAAAAACGGATAAAGAAAAAAACATTAAATTTTAAAATTAAGTTTTATTTCGGCCTGACGTGAATTGATTAGATTTTGGACAAAGTCGGAACATCTGGGGGGGTACTTTATGGGAGGCCGTTTTTATATTTTATGGAATATATCTGTTATTTATGTTTGGAGAAAAAAATTGTTCAAATAAAAGTTACTTCTAATATTATTATCTATAATTTTTGCTTTATGTAAAAATTTCCTGAAATGGTCCGTATTCGAAAAATTTGACAAAATGTGCAAAATTCTGATTTTTATGAAAATTGTTGAAATAAAAGTTGTTTGCGATATCGATCTCTATAATATTTGTTCATACATGATTTTTTTAAAATGGACCGTAATGGAAAAGTTGTAGGAAAAGTGATAAATTTAAATTTTTCAGTATTTTCATTTTCAATGAATATCTATAGAAAAACGTTTCGCGGTAGATGTATGTGGACAATGTATATATTTAGTTTATCCTCTAAACATTTATAGAGATGCTGCAATAGGTTGTACAAAATAACCGGAAAAAGCCTGTAATAACTAGATAGGAAAGTCATGTGTTGGACACATCAGATTTTTTAATAACAATGCCGTTCTTAAAGTGGCTAACAGAAACAATATCAAAGCCTATACAAAATGAGATCATATATTTAGTACTGTAGTAAATAAATTTGCTCGACTGATGTCATTAATACACTCAAAAAAGTATGTTAATGTATAAAAATAAAATTACATACCTTGGTGTCTTGGTTTTTAACCATTCACTGATATTTATTATATTAATAAAAAACTGTCAAAATTTTTCATTTCTCTGTTTTTCGTTTCAGATTTTCAAAAATACTCATTACCGCCCAACAATATGGATGCCTCCAAGAAGCACTTACGGTAGTTTCTCTTCTTAGTGGAGAATCAATTCTTATTAATCCTGTGACCAAACAAGCGGAAGCTCAAAATGTCCGTCAGAAATTCTGCTCTGCTTACGGAGACCATGTTACATTGTTGAATATATTCAGGGAGTTCGACACTGTCGGACAGAATAACAGGCGAACTTGGTGTCATGAGCATTTTATAAATATGAGGAATATTTTGCATGCGAGGGAAATAAGGGCGCAACTAGAGCAGGTATGCAAAAAGTGTGATCTCGGAGTTATGTCATCTTGTGGAGGAGATTTGGATAGGTTGAGGAAGTGTTTGGTCATGGGTTTGTTCATGAATGTGGCTGAGTTGGTTAGAGATCATCATTATATTACGGTAAGTAAATATTTGTTTGTATGTAAGAACATCTTCCAAAATCACCAAATATTATGTCTATATACATCAAGAGAGGCGTCGCTACCGGGCGTATGGCATTGTTACTTGTAATCAATATTTTTACATTTTCTGACGTGCTATAAATATGTTGTATGTATAAAATAGTGAATAAATACTATATCTAAAAAAATATGATGCCCCTCGACAATATTAATACTATTTTTTCTTTATTTACTTAAGATTTACATATACATTTTATATTTGACAGTTAATCACTTAAAGAATAAAAAATAACCACCTAGATGTGCCCACCTGTGTGTGCTATAGCATACAAATAAACTAAACTAAAGTATAAATTTACAAAACGTGTTGTGACGATAAAAAAAAAATTCCAATGTAGGATGGAGGTGTATCAGTCAATTTATAAAATCTTAATAAATCTAAGTTTACAGTAACATATTGTTTAGCTTTATCTCGAAATATATGTAACTTGGTTATATTTTTTATATTTAGCGGTAGTTTATTAAAAATTTTGGAAGCAACTGTGGTTACAAATCGTTGACTGTTTTTGCAGGGGCGGCTCAAACACAGCTCTAGGCACACCACTGATTTTTATATGCGTTTTTTGTACAATAATTCCTGACCTACTCTTAGTTTTGTTGATATGTTAAGTCCAGAACGGACGAATTGCTCTAGAAATTCAGTTAAAAAAAAATGTAAATAGCTTGTTGACTAAGAAAGGTACAAAGTTTATTTCGCTATAAAAAAAAAATTAAAAATTCATAGTTCTTTTTGAATTTAAGATCGATAAAGGAAGTTTCTTTATGTTAAAAAAAATACGGGGGGGGTTAAAAGGCACCCAACCGCCCAACTTTTTTTAAAGAGGTCGCTTTAAATTTTTTTTTCTGCTTAGAATATTGGGCCTTCAAATCTACAGCACTGGCTGTCGTCGGGTCTCGCTCGGGTGAAGGTCGTTTTGCCCTGACCCCGCTCTTTCGCTAAGAAGGGGTCGTGAAGGAGATATGGCCGTACTAGTGGATAATTCGGAGAGCGTAGCGAACTCCTCGAAACCACCAACACTGTGAAGCACTTCACCAGGGAAACTTCCCCCTGACCTACATTTGCCGTGTGTAGGCCGACGCTCGATGGGGGGTATATGATGATTGAAGTCCCAATTCAAACGAATTGGGTACTCCCAGGGTAGGTTCGGGCCCAGACGGCGGGGATTTGGCAAACCGTCGGGTTGTGTCGTTATTTTGAAAATTGTTAAAATTATAAAAATCATCTAAATTTATAGCCGAGTTCGGCTGTCTCCACAAGGTGGCATTTTGCTCTGGGGCGGGAGTACCCGGGGAAAAGCCATAGAACTCTCCCCGTGTACCGTGCCCTGAAGGAAATGCCCTTCTGAGGTCGGCGGTGAAATTATCTGCATTTGTGTGTTGCATTTTTGGTAATAAGTTAAAATGAATTGAAATGATTTTAAAGTGACGTTAAAGGTTGAACTAATGAATTTATTTAAATACAAAAAAAAATAAATAAATAAATAAATAAATTAAAAAAAATAATAATAATAAAAGCCTCCCTCAGTCAAGCGGGTTCGATAAGGGAAAGTAAATGTCGATTAGCAAGTAACACTAGGATAGGATAGGATAGGATATAATTAATAATTAATTAAATAAAAAGAAATGAGCCACTTTACTATAACGAGGCGTCTCCAAATTGCTGAAAAATAAATAAACAAACAAGGTCAAGAGAAGAAAGTCCGTTATAGGTTCCGCGCCAAAAAAAATATGCCGGCAAGCGGAAGGGAAAATGGCGGGAAATTGAATGGAGACAGCCCTATCACTTTTAAATGGGAAACGATGTACTCCTCGTCTCCCACGTAATTAGAACAGACTCACCCAGTGTAATTATCCCACGGAGGGGCTTTAAGCAGGAGGATCGCAAGAGAGTCGAGGAGAATGCGCAAACACGGCTTATTTCTCACCACTCTGCTAGAATCCCCTTTCCTTAGTAAACCCTTATGTTGGTCGACTCAGACAATCGTGGGTGATGGATTTTAAAACTTGAAGTAATCCTTTTTGGCTATTTGGACACTGACCGGCACAGAAAACGAATTTGCACTATATTCGCGGCGAGAGAACTGTACACGAAAAAGGTTAAGGATCTACTTCCCGTTTTTGCGGGAAACGGTTATATTTATGTGTCTAATTCCTGGCTCCGCCCATAGGTAAAACAATTACGTAATTGGCTAAAGCTTTTTGGAATCGTTTGAAATTTGCAACGGCTGAATATTTGAAATTTAAACTATGTCTTTTTAGGATGAATAATAATGAAAAATCGATTAGAGGAAATATTAATAAGACATAGTTTGGACACGCGAATTACTTTGGATTTTTGTGATGTCTGAAATATTTCTGCGTATGTAGGTATTTCATTCGGGTATAAATGAAATACGGAAATATGAATGTTCGAAGTTGTTCCCGTGAGAAAGAGTAACTAGTCTCCGAACTTTAGGAAGATTTAGGATTACTTCGTGATTGATTATTTAGTATGAATTTAATATTAAAAATTAAAATAACTTTTCTAGCTTTCGAGTACGAATGCTAGATGTAAAACCACAAGTACTTGTGTCGACGTAAGAGTGACTCTATATGTGTGATTGCAAAAATTAGTGTTTGCGGATTCGGTTAATTGGGGTACTTTTGTATGGTGTCCATACACATAGGGTATCGTTGCGGAGCTGCAACTCGGGTAAGAATTGGATCGACGCTACGGGACCCTATGACATGGCAAAAAGTTCAAAGAAAAAATCTCAAACGCAAACTTTTTACAAAAAAAAAAGAACTTTTCTGATTGTTAGTTTAACAAACACCCTCTAACTTTGTTGGGAGCCAGTATTTGATATAGGTAAATATAGCCAAATTCACTTATTTTTTGGTAATCTATCTGAGGAAGAATTTATGACATAACTTTTTGAAACACCCTGTATATATAACTTTTAATTCCTCTTTTAGTTGATTTTGTTGTATTAAAGAATTTTCAATCTGATCTACTGACATTTCTTGACTAAAGTTGATTATTTTAATTCTAGGTTGTTTCATTTTTGTTAACTGCAATTCATATATATTTTGGAGCTTGTTTTCCATTTCAGTTATAGTGTTTCTATTTCTTGTTTTGTTTGACAGTTTACAATAACGGACCTATTTTTTGTTTTTTTACATTTGTAATTCCAAGTTTTAGTTCTACTGTTTTTATTCATATCTTTTAATGTTTCATCAGTACTTTGATTCTGTTTCGGTTTTAATATTATTTTCGTTAAATTATTTGATACTTTCATTTTTACATTATCATTTTTCAGGACTGTGGAATACGTTGGAATGTAGTAGTTGTTTTATAATTTCCCGGTCTTTAATAATTATTGCCTTATCCTGAATTGTATTTTGCAGAATATCTATTGTTTCAAAGTTCTGCACTTTTTTGTTCTTTTTTGCAGTGGAATGCATCTTAATTCCGAAACAAGGGTATCTATTTTCCTTTATCGGCTGCTGAATTCGTTTACATAACGGAGATAGAAAACTCCGCCATTTTGATCCCTTATTACGTGTTGCCTACATCTTGGCGCAATATTTTTAATAGGTGCGTCTCACATACTTTGATTACTATTCGCTCCGTGCGAAGTCATGGAAAGGGAAGCAAAAGCGATACTAGCGCTAGCTGCGGATAATTCGTGCATTTTAGGGCGATATTTTGTAATTTTGGCATATCAAATACACGTATACATTTTACTTTTTTTCAGAAAAGTAGCTGAAAACAATACAGTAAGCAACCGGAGTTGCTGTGTTGAAAATTGTACAAATACTAGCAGCAAAAAAAAACAGTGAAACTTATATAAAAAATTTCAGTAGCAAAGTGGAAATTAAATCAAAGAAATAAATGGATAGATATACAATAAGAAGAAAAATTACCTTTATTTTTGTAATAATAACAGTAATGCTGGAAATAGTAGACATCAGAAACTTGAAAGGTTTTAAATAAACAATAAATTATCATTTTACGATGTTCTTTAATATCCCTTTATTCTTAAATGTTCATTCAGCAAGGACTAGATTTCAAGATTTCTGCCTTTGATTATTATTATATGTGGCTGGAATACAATTTTGTAACTTACTGATGGGAAACCAGATTTAATTATTCATTATATGTTTTCTTTCCAACAAAAATGAAAATATAAATAACGATCCTTTTTTTTATACATTTTAACTTCACGCTATTATTAAATGGTATTTTTTTATTTTGACAGAATAGGCTAATTCTTCAATGACAACTTATTAGACTTAGGCAACTTCTCATACATTTTCCAGTAAATACTGTTGCCTGCCTATATTTTATTATTCATTTTTATTGATTATACGTAATTTTCTTTAATTTAAGAGATAAAAATATATAATAATAAAAAATTAATGTTTTACTTGTTTTACAAATCCATATACTTTTATTAAAACTAACATATATACTTTTTAATTACGAATTCTATTAAAAATTGCATTTGTCAGTATACGCAGAAATAGTCCATTAATACCAAAATGAATTGGCGCTGCTGTCGCGCACGGAGCGAATAATGCTCCTATTTTTTTTAACTTCACTTACTAATTTTCATATTACGCAGAGGTTCGTAAATTAAACCCGCGCTACTAAATAATTGTTCGCTAGGAACACTGCCTGGTGGAGTGGATACAAATCTTCGAGCTATCGGTGATAATATCTTGAATTTCTCTCGATGAACACTCCACCATTTAAGAGGATTTTCATCAACATTGACTCTTTTTTTAGTGCGGTAAGAAAGTAATTCCTTTTTAAGTACCGCTTCAGGGCTACCATTTTCTGGTATTTCTTGACTCTCATCTTCACTTGACGAATCTAACATCGTAGCAAGGTCGTTTTTTAAGCTTGGCTTTCTGACGAAACTTGATGGTCCTGGTCCTAGTTGTTTCATATTC